CGGGGTCAGCAGGGAGGGAGCAGGGAGGACTGCGGTCCCTGGATGGGCAGGACGAAGGGACTGGGGATGCGGGGGCCGAGTGGGTGCGGCGGGAGCAGAGGGGGACCAGAGAAGGGAAGGGAATGGGGGGTCGGGGGGGCATTTAGACAGAGGACCTGGGGTGTGGAGCCCCCGGGGCTGGTGTCCAGCTGGTGCCCAGCCCGCCCTCCCCCGCAGGAGTCGGCGCTGAAGGCCCTGGGGACGGAAGGCCTCTTTCTCTTCTCCTCCTTGGACACCGACCGGGATCTGTACCTCAGCCCCGAGGAGTTCGGGCCCCTCGCCGAGAAGCTGACAGGTACCCGGGGGCGGGCAGGGCGGGAGGAGGGAGCACAGCCCCTGCCCTGGCTGCGGGTCTGCTCTCAGCCCCGGGGCCCCGGAAGCAGAGGGAGAGTGTGGGTCCTGGCAGCCCCTGAGCAACCTGGCCCTGACACCTTCTAGCTGCTGGTCGGGGCAAGCTGCTTGCACACACACACACACACACACACACACACTCACACGTACACACGCACTCACACGCACACACACTCACACGCACTCACATGCACTCCAGTCTGTCCTCCTCACGTCCGAATTCCTAGCTAGCATCCCCTGGCCACTTCCTCCGGGCCAACATGGCTTCAGGCACCTCGTGTGAGTTCTCTCTTTACTCTTTGCAATGCCCTGTGAGGCTGACACCGTCACATCCCCATGGTACAGGTTGGGAGCCTGGGGCACAGGGAGGCTCACCCGCCCCAGCTAGAAGGTGCAGAGCCAGGGACATCGGCTCCAGGTCCTGCCCCAGCTCACAGATTTCAGGATTAGAGAGAGTATCAGCAGTGGCTGGTGAGCAGTAGATAGGCCATAGGAGCTATTCTGATTATTTTACTGAACATTAAAACTCTTAGGTGCTGCCAGATGCCTGTCCCATCTCGCTACCCATTTTTGCCTGGCTGTGACCCGTGGTTGTTGGGTTTTTGTTATTGTTGTGTTTTGTAAAGATGAAGGCCTGAAACATCTAATCTAAATACATAGAAGCCTAAGCGACCGAATGACCAACGACCGGTTGCTATGATGCGCACTGACTACCAGGGGGCAGACCCTCAATGCAAGAGCTGCCCCCTGTTGGTCAGTGAGCTCCCACAGCCAAACTCCTGTGGCCGGCCAATCTCCCACGGTCCCTCCCCCACAGCTGGCCGGCCCCAGGGGTCCTGATTGGGACTGGGCAACACCCCGATCAGCCCAATCGCCGGCCAGGCCAAGGGACCCCACGCATGCATGAATTCATGTACCAGGCTCCTAGTGAATTATAAAATGCTCTCTCACCACCACCCCAACCTCTGTGTCCATTTCTGGTGACATTTCTTGAACTTACGATCTTGGGCACCTACTTGTTACCCAAGCGGCCCAGTGTAAGGAGGTCAATGGATGGGAAAGGCAAGAGCGATGCCAGCTGCTCTCCGGCGAGTAAGCACCAAAGCCCGTGGTGAGCTCTCTGGGTCCCGGGGGCTGTGGTCACTGCCCAAGGAGAAGCGTCGGAGGAGAACTGCTAATTCGCCGGGCAGACGTGGGCCAGTGTCTTCGTGACAGTCAGTTCTGTGGTAAAAGCAGACGGTGGGTATGCGGGTCGGCCCCCTGTGGGTTGGCTCCAACCTCTTAATTCCACACGCAGCCACGCAGCCACACAGCCACCTCCTCGTCCTTTTTTATGGCCAGTGAGCAAGAGTAATGACATGCTGGCCAAGCCTACTGGGCTTGGGGGCCATTTTAATTTTCTTAAAATGAATCCCCTTACCTTTGAGGCCACCGTGAGTGCAAAACTGGACCAAGTTTTGGGAAGACGAAATTAAAACAAAAACAAAAACACGAAACACCAACTCTAAGCAGTGACAAGGGGCCAACAGTCTCTCTAGTTGGTACATTTATGAGTGTTTAATTTTCTGCTTTATACCTTAAAAGTTTTACAAGCTGTCTAGAATGAGCAACTGTTACTTATAAGTCAGGAAATAAAACTTTTTATTAAAAAACGAAAGGGCCATAAAATGCTGGGCCTTATTATTAATAATAATCTGGGACAACAGTAAAATAAGCAAGCAGACTAATAACCCTGCTCATTCCTACAGTCCCCGCCTCGGAGGTCCCCAGGTTGCCGTTTTTAGGGAAGATTTGCCGCATGGACTTACAAATGCAGAAATGGCAGTGCTTCTGTAGGACGGGGGTTTGCATCGGGAGCGCTGGGAGTGCCAATTAAAGAGCAGTCTGCTGAATCCAGCCCCTCCGGATTCCTGCTCAGTAGGTCTGAGGTGGGCCCTGGGCATCTGTAAGTGCAGAAAGCATCCTGGGGATTCTGGTGATCCCGGGTAAGAACTGCTTCGGACGCACCCATGCAGTCTGTCAGCAGATGCCGCGCACGGCCCCTCCCAGGAACCTGCCCTGGGAGAGCAGGTGTGACAGCACCCACCGCTGCTTTACTCCATTCTGTGTCCTGGGGCCCTGCCCTTCTATTTGTCACCTCCTTTGAAATAGGCTTCCTTTCTCCCTTAAACCTCCATCATGACTCCTTCTACACTTGGAAGGTTTCAGACTTAGTCGGCCCATCTCTGAGCAGGAAGAGATCTGGGAAATCAAGGCCAGCCACCGCCAGTCCAGCCCTCCTCATACAAACGTGGAAATGATGCGACCCAGGGAATCAGGGGGAAGCGAGTCTCCTCACTGCCAGACCAGCGCTCTTTCTATGACACCGAAGTTGGCCTGATTCTGTTTCTTTGAGGAAACTGAGGCTCTGAGATCTTAACTTCCCCCGAAGAGGGTCGTGGTTAATCGTGGGTGTGGAGTGAAACAGGCCTGGGTTTGAATCCTGACTCTCCCACTACCTCGCTGTGTGACTTTGAAGAAGTGATATCACCTCTCTGAGCCTCCAGTTTCTCAATCATAAAATAGGAGTTGGTAGTAACGGTATCTGCCTCACAGGGCTACTCTGAAACTAAAATGTGACACATGTTGGTTCTTACTTGGGCGATTGTTAACTGTTACCCCCCCCCCCCCCCCCAGCTCCAGGCCTAGTTCCCTTAGTCACTGGCCAGAGTGGATGCCTACAGGCAGGGCCTCTCCATCTGTCTCGTAGGGTCAACTCCTACAACCAGCTACGAGGAGGAGGAGCTGCCCCCTGACCCCAGCGAGGAGACACTCACCATAGAAGCCCGATTCCAGCCTCTGCTCCCGGAGTCCATGACCAAGAGCAAAGATGGGTTCCTAGGGGTGAGTTGGGGTGGGGCCTTAGATAGGAGGGCCATCTGTGTGCACTCGCCACCTGGGAATGGGGCTGTGTTCATCTTTCCTCCTCTTTCCGTCTGCCTTTATCAGCTGCCCTCTGTGCACCCCGTGTGCCAGGCCCTGGGGGTCCAGAAGCGGGTGCGATGCCATCCCTGCGGTCCAGGCACAGTCTGGTGGGGGAGGCAGGAGGGATAAGCGTGAGCCTGGAACCCAGGTGGGGATCTGGGAGGGCTTCCTGGAGCAGTGACACCTGACAGGATGCGGGAGGAGGAGGGTTGGCCAGGTGAGGCCGGGGCAGGAGGGACCTGGTTGGAGGACACAGCGAGTGCACTAGAGACCGTTGGTGCAGCCGCCTCACTAGATCATTGCTTTCTGCAGGGCAGTCTTTTCCCCGCAGGCGGTGCTTGCTGAGGGCCAGGCCTGTGTCCCCCACATTTGTCACCCCATCCCCAGGCCCCTAGCACGATGCCCTGCACCTGACAGGTGCTCCGTTGAACTCTGATGACGCAGACCTGAGGTTCTGCCCCTGGCAGGGGTTGTGGGGTGGGCAGGATGCCTGACAAACGCTTTGCTGACCAGCCCCGCTCGGGCCCGAGGCCCTGTGGACAAGGTCCAAGCCCATGATGGGACCTAAACATCCCGGATGAGGACCCCGGGAGCAGGTGAT